CAAAAATGCAAAAAATAGGGTTTAAAATTTGCTTGTTTTTTAACCCAAATAACAATATTTTTTAAAAAAAATTTAAAAATCATTTACTTTTCCTTTAAGGAGGAAAGGTAGGAAATTGCAATATTTTTACGTCATTGAAAAAAGGGTTTTACTGCAAACCTTTTCGTGACAATGAAAATAAAGTTAAAACACAAGGTAGTCGTAAGGTTACATGCTTTCTGGGAATGATGTCCCCCCCCCCTACTTTTTATTATTTTCTGTCTGTATTAAAAATTATTACCTGAAAGTATGTGGTCACAATTATCCCCTTTTTATCGGAACAAAGTAATTATGGCTATATTTCATGTTAACTCAAAATTAATGACTTAGCATATTTTGTTGCAGGCAAAAATGCCTTGCATATTTTGATGTAGGCAAAATGCCAGAACATACACAAAAATAAAGCCTTTTTCTCACTCTTTAAAGTTCCTGAAGCATACTGTTTTGGTGATAAAAGAGAGGAAACTAAGTCAGTGAAAAGCTGAAAGAAAATATGTAAATCAAAATTAGTAATCTAACTCTGCATTAGGGAAAAAGATAGTTCACAGGGTCATATTCATTAATGTACCTAGGGCATTTTTGTTGGGTGGCCCCAAAGTATTGTGCATAAGAACCATTTATAAATATTATTAGCTCTAAAATTTACTTTATTAACTGTGTCAAGACTTATATTTAAAAAAACAGTCTAAAGTGAAAAAACAAGATGAATAAAGCACAAATCAAGTGCTGAAAGGGACATATTATAGTTTCAGTTCTCTAGATGAGAACCTTGCTCAGTAGGTAACTAAACTTCAAATGACGCAAAATAAATATATAAACACATGCAAAGTGGTTTAATCAATCAGGGCAGAGAAATAAGTTTTAACAAATTAATAAAAAGAAGGTTGATAAGAAACAGGTGTGGCAGTTACTACAGGAAACAAAAAATTAGAATAGATTTTCATACTTTGGAAAAGGGGGAGGGGATACCAAAAAGAACATTATCTAAATTATTAGAATTTTTCAAAATATTCCCCAAAATCAAGTTCAGTATATGACGAAATGTAACATAGAATGAATTCAGTAGATAGTGAGATTAATTTCCTATAAATGAAACGATTTTAGCAGAAGAAAACTCAATCCTATGAATAGAATTCCAGTTATGTAAGGTAGGAGTGCACAACCTATGTCCTGCAAGCCACATGCGGCCCGCCAACTGTTGATGTGCGGCCTGCTAGAACTTCTGAACTCAGTAAAAATTTCTTTTAATTTGGTTTTTGTTTTAACATTATAAATTTTCTTTTATTGAATTATTTCATTCAAATTTATATTACTCTATAAAATATAATTTTTTTTTTTTTTTTTTTTTGCACTTTCGTTCTGTAAGCTTCTTTTTGGTTAGAATTTATATCACCCCTCCCATTATATATATATGTATATATATATATGAAAAATCAATTTACAGATTTGATATTATATTTTTAATCTAGATTTGGGAAAATATCAATGTAATATTAAAGGAGAGCACAAAACTAATGTAAACAATGAATTTATTAACACTTACTAATTAGGCAGATACATAATCAGTAATTTTTTTCTGAACAAATGATTTAGAACCAGTAGAAATTAAAAAATTTTCCAAATTATGCACATGTTCAAACAAAGTATCTGAAAAGTTTTTTTGTGCCGATAAATATCTCTTTACAGCTTCCAAATTGGCCAAGGCTTGTGAAGCTGTAGGTACATTGTTTTCTTCTGGACATTCTTCATCATCGCTGCTGTCCGAAAGTGATTTTTGTTTGTTTTCTTGAATCATACGTACAATATCATTGTCTGTCAATGCTTCGCATGTTCTAGCATCATCATCTGCAGTCAGAAAATCGTCAAGACTGACTTCGTTTGGCACTGATGTTTCTTTTGTCACATGTTCCCATAAAGGCTGCAAATCGATGATAACATCATTAATTTCATCGACTGTTTCATTGTCAATTGCCGAAATTAAATTTGCTTTCTTCCATCCATTACAGATGACTTTTTGGCTAATGTCTTTCCATGCTCCAGCAATCATATCCATTGCTTGCTTTACATCTGGTTTCGTAATTGCTTCTTTGTTTCCGATTTGCACAAGCATACGCCTCAGAAGTTGTGTTCGATACTTTCCCTTTACCACTTTAATTATACACTGGTCAAGAGGTTGTAAAATTGACGTACAATTAGGAGGAAAGTATTCGATGTGAATACATTCCAATTTTGGTGGCTCATTGTGGGGTGAACAATTATCAATAAGAAGCAGAATTTTTCTTTTCTTACGTTTCATATCTTCATCAAACTTAACCAACCACTCATTAAATATTCCAGTCGTCATCCACGCTTTGCGGCTAGATCTATAATCACAAGGTAGTGAATTTACATTTTTTAGGCACCTAGGTTTGGCAGATTTGCCGATAACCATAACTTTTCTCTTTTCAGTGCCTGACATATTGCAGCAAAACAAAGCAGTTAAACGCAGTTTTGAATTTTTGCCTCCAATGCATTTATCCTTTTTAAACACCAGGGTTTTGTTTGGTAACAACTGGAAAAAAATTCCCGCTTCGTCTGCGTTGAAAACATCAGAAGGATCATAAGACCTAATTGCATTCGATATTTTTTCTGATTTCCAGTCATTCACAGCTTTTAAATCAACAGAGTTAGCTTCACCACAAATTTGCTTTGCAACAATACCATAACGTTCCTTGAATCGATTCAACCAACCAACACTTGCTTGAAAATTTTCGTTTCCAAAAATTCTTGCAAATTCTAAAGCCTTTTCACGAATGAGGGGCCCGGAAATTGGAATGTTTCGGGAGCGAATATCCTGGAACCATGTAAAAACAGCTGCATCTACATCTTGAAAATTTGAAAGTCATATCTTTTTTCTATGTGATCCGATCAATGCTGATTGCACTTGCTGTTCCAACTTCGTTCGATTTTTTAAAAAAGTAGATAGAGTAGATGGGGATAGTCCATACTTTGTCGCAACGTCAGCTTTTTTTATCCCATGATCAACTTCTGAAATAATTTCCAGTTTTTCCTTAATGGAAAATTGTTTACATTTTTGACCACTCATTATGCTTAAGAAAGAAAACAAAATGCTTGCAAACGTTGAAAGCAGACAGACTGATTTAACTAACCTTCTCCGATTGAAGTTGCACACCACTCTGGTAATTTTCTGAAACTTGTTTACACCCGTTTTACACTTTGAGTTCTTAGAACAGCTCTCCCCCCCCTATTTAGTCTGTTGTAATTCAAGGAAGGAATTGTTCTGCTAAGAGTGGTCACTTCTAATCTATCATTCTTGACAAGCCCTTTCTATTGAATAGAATTCCCTCTTTTAAAAGCATGTGTATTTTGACTTCTTAAAACATGAATGAATCAATGCAAGGGTCAACTCAGGGTGGTCTCTTTCCAGTGATTCTTCTTTTTTTGACAGATTTTTCACATTTGAAACTTATTAGTATTTTAAGGGTGATAAAACATTTCATTTCTGAGAACATTTTTGAAGAAATGTGTCTTGTTCATCAAAGAAAATAAGACCTGGTGTTCATTTTCGCCTTCGCTAAATCGGATAATTGTTTTCGTAATATCGGTATTTTTTATGCATTGTTCACATGGAAATAAATTTGGGGATTCGGAAAATATTCGTTACTTTGAAATTTTCGAATTTCGCAAAAACGGGATTCGACTGTATATATATGTATATATATATGTATATGTGTATACAGTGCCCGCCGCTAATAAAATCACCGGATAATAAAATCAGCCGCTTTATAAAATCAAATCGGCAAGACCCGNATATATATATGTATATATATATATGTATATGTATATATATATATATGTATGTGTGAGTGCCGACCGGCCTGTGTAGGGGTCAGGGAACTGTCCTTGCATCAGAAAGATTTTGGGTTCGAATCCCGGGCAAGGCATGGATGTTCTTTCCTTCTCTGTACTATTTGTCCTCACTATAGGAGCGACGTTGGTCCACCTAATATGGTGCCCCTGAAAGAGAGGCCTACAAAATCACCCTGTATATGCCTGAATTGACGAATGTCATCACAGGTGGGCATTGAAAATATATTTATATATATATAGAGAGAGAGAGATAAATTAATTACAGTAAGACCTCGATTATCCGAGCTAATTGGGACCGCTAGTACCTCGGATATCGGAAATCTCGGTTAATAGGAACCATGTATAAAAACCTTCCGTGTTCGCGAATTTAACTACTTTTAAAGTAAAAAACAATAGAACGTTTTTTAAATGATAAAAATAAACATATATGAACTTATGTTTCACAGCTAAAAAGACTTAAAAAGGAAATCAACTCTAGTAGTAAATTTTGAAAAGTAAAGCAGAATTTTTTTTAACTATACTTAGTTAAATATCGAAAGACGCATTTTCAAAAATAACACAAATCTCAAGAAAATATTGTATTTTTAAAATTTACATGATTAAACTTACAAGTCACATGACCACTGTTAACAAAGCATTCATGGATGTTGTCTTCTCAGGGTGTAATATTTCATTGAAGTTCAGTGCTTTTGTGGGGAATAAGTGCCTGTAACACAGACAACGAACTAATATGTGTATAATTTCTTCCACTTCGTTATTGCCTCGGTTAACAGAAACCTCGGTTAATCGAGGTTCTACTGTATTGTGAAAAATGGAAGACGTTTTTTAAAAAAATTTATCTGTGTTTTTAGTTTTAAATAAATTCAAATAATTAAAAGTATTTAATTTTCTGCAAATTTGTTATTAAGTTTACTCATAAAAATATCTGATGCTTAGAACACTAATGTTTGGATAAAAATCATCATATTTGCCGCTAACATGATTAATATGTGCACAGCCCTTCGTTAATCTACGTACTGTGCAAGTTTCCCTTCACTCAAAAAAGTTGTGCGCCCCTAATGTAAGGCAATGGAAGATCTTTTAATATCCTGATTTTTGACATATTTTTCATCTTCTTTAAGTTTAAGGGCACATTTAGTTTGTCCAATTTAAGATAGACTACATTGACATGAAATTTGATAAATGTCCCAACTATTAATTTCAGCATTAGTGTCTTTAAGGTAGCTGAAATTTAGTTTGTTGACAGGGAAAAAAACTATTTTAAACTCAAATTATTAAAATCTGCAATTTGGGTTTGGATTTTTGGATAATAGGGTAAAACAAATTGTTAACATTTTGGTTAGAGGGTTAGTGTTTCATTAAGTGATTAATTTTCTATAGAAATAGAATCAATAATAGAAGGAAATCGAACAAATTTTAGAAGCATAGCAAACAGGTGTTCGTAAGGCAGCTATCTTTTGGTTAGGGGAATCAGATGTAAGTTTATGAGGAGAGAAATTCATCCCAATTATAAATAATAAGAACGTCTAAGAAAAGTTAAAAAATTTTTTTCTCCTGTTCAATCATGAATTGAATGCAACAATCTATACAATTCAAAACATTGAGAACATAGCCGATGTCAGCATTGTCCATGAATGTGAAACAATTTTCAACATATCGTCGATAGAAAAGGATTTTTAATAAATCAAAGAGTTTCACTTCAAAATAATGCATGTACAGGTAACTTAACCTTCCGTTAGACGCGCGCACCTCACATATGCATCTTTACTGTACTTCCACCTCCTTTGCCATCAATAGATTTTTCCGGGGGACGAGCCTAATGTTATCTTCCTATCTTTGAATTACTCAAAGGTCCGTGTACTCCCGACCTTCAAACATGTCGATGGAGAGTTGCAGCGGCTCAAATCACCCCACAGGTGCAACGCGACCATTGACCCAAGTATTATGGATATAATATTTTTATGAATTAAATATCTATATTTTATCTTATTTTCTGCCCTACTCAACATAGGTATAAATGGTCAAGTTATATACGCAAAAAATGGTTACGAAGTGAAAAACCGCAGAACCTTCTTGCGTCAATTGGCTAAACAACTTGTGATGGATGAAATGATCCGACGCAGGAGCAAGAAAAATTTATCTTCAGTACTTCGCTTTCGATTGGCAGAAGCAAACTTCTCAAGCCTCAGAAAATTCACTGGCAGAAAATCAAGCCAAGAAAAGAAAATTGCGCGTGCCATGTCAAAAAAATAAACTAACAAAAAAAATTATACTTATGCCACTTGCGGATAACACTTATGTTTGAGTAATGTAACAACAATTTGTAAAGACCTCTTGCAAAAATTCTTGATCACATGAAGGTAGTTCTGCATCAGACAGCCTCTAAGATAATATTTTTATACTAACATGTGATATTGAAATAAGTTGTTCCGATATGCAAGACTCTCAATGTTTTTTTACAATTATACTTTTCTTTGTTTTTCTTTATGTTGTGCAATTATTTGTGATACAGTTTTTTCATATATTTTAGTAATTAAATAAGTTTTTTCATACTTAATCTATCTAAAGAATCTTAAATAGGTAACAATTAACTATTTAAACTAGAATAAATTTCACTTGACTTTAAAAAATTCAAAAACACCTTATAGGTGCAACGCGACTAACCATGTCGGAAACAAATGCGCGTCTAACGGAAGGTTAAGAAGAGGTTGAGAGGATTACATTGAGCTAAGCCATCATTCATTTGACAAGATTAATCAATGAAAGTGAAAATAGACTGCTCTAAACAAATGCATGTACTGTGTACTAGTTCGTCATTTTCAATTTAACTAAAATGGAAGTCGTGCAATCTCTTTGTAAGGCAATTGAGACCTCATTAACGCTGTGATGACGATGCAATCACAATGTTAATGAGGATGCAATCACAACGTAATGATGAGCAATTGAGACCTCATTAACGAGAGAAATTCATCCCAATTATAAATAACGTTGTGACTGAACTTTGGTGAAAAAATGATTTTACTTTGAAAGAGGCCATTATGTTTTTATTAGATTTGAATAACCTTATCAACAAAGTCATACAAATATTTTACAGTACAATAATTCATACTAGTATTAATTAATAATAATTTAAAACTATTCATAATTACCTAAAAAATCAAGGGAGTAAATTTTTTTTTTTTCTTAAAATTTTTTTTTTAAGGATGTCAAACAATTTTGCGACAGTTGAAATTTCAGAAGTCAAATGAGATAATGGGACAAGTCCAATTATTTTGATGATAAATGAGATAAGTCCAATTATTTTGAACAAATTTAAGTGTTAGTTTTACTTGAAATTTTTTGAAAATGTGTTTTTTATTTATTGATCCAAAATTTATGTGTATTTTAGGGTATACTGTAGTGTATATTTTGATAGTTAATTTTTTTAGACCTTTTATTTATTTATTTTTGATTATAATTGCTCTAGTTATATGATTTAATGCATAAATAGTGTGATTGTAAACAAGGCCTTTTTCCTCACCGTTCCTGCCACACTCAACAAAATAAAGGAATCACTTTAAATAAGTAGTAGTTTCATTGTTTCAAGCTGTTCAATGCTGTTCAACGCTGTTCACTGTTCAACGCTGTTTCAAGCAAGAAATGTTTAGTGCAAACAGATTTCACTTTTGTATTACTGAAATCATTGCCATGGTTCAATTGAGCGTCAATGAAATATTAACATTCTTGTCTCCTTACTTCAAAATATAAGAGAAGTTTCTATTTATAATTTCTAAAAAGATAAAATTTTGAAAAATGAAAAAATATAATCAAATACAAGGGTTGCTTTTTAAGTAAGGGCCATTTGGTGGTGTGCACAAATAGGTGATGCATAATAGGTCACAATGAGTGCTTGTGTTGCGTCCCGGCATTCCTTGGGAACAATTATGCTCAGTTGCAGCTGTGTAGATAAACTATATGGTCAGTTCTGTGTCTTTGAAAGTGTTCAAATTTAAGATATCGTCTGCCACGCGCGAGATTCGGTCAGTGATATGTTTTCGGTCTACAAAAACCCTGTCTGCTGCATACATTCACTGGCAGATTTGTGAAGTAGCAAAATTCACTGCCATGCTGACAAGGAATTTTGCTTCTCTATGACAATGACTATCTCCGCAGCTCAGATCCCAGCTTTATTGGACTCTTTTGGTTGGGAAGTTTTGGACCACCCCTCCTTACAGCCCAAACCTTGATTTTCATCTTTTCTGATATTTCAAACATTTTGACGGCAACCACTACATCGAAAATGGCTGTGACCTCTTGGTTAACAGAGTAGGTGTCAAGTTTGTATGAAGAGGGATTCTAAATCTAGTTGTAAGGTATGATAAGTGTTTAAACAAACTTGGCAACTATGCTATAAAAAAGAGAAACGTATGTAGAATCTGAAAATAAATTTGCTTCTTGAGAATTTTCTTTCATTTGGTTTTTATTTTCAAACGGCTCTTAAAAAACAACCCTTGTAGTTGGTCAAATTAGCACAACAGCCTGGTAATTAGAAAAATTATTTTAAGATTAAGATGTTTAACATGTTGAGAAATTTTAAGTTGCTTAGAAATGATGGGTACATATTCGGCAACTTTATTCTCTTTGTAGTGATATGAAATATCAAAATACGATTTAAGATAATCATTGTTGATATTACAATTTTATTCAAGAAGATATATAATGATACCTTTTATGAAACTTTTATCTTCATATACGTTTTAATTACTTGATAACTGTAGAATATGTATTAAAGAAATTGATTACATTAATATATTATTTTAAATCAAGGCATACATATGTATATTGCTGAAATAGTATCCGTTATTCAATGAACATACTAAAAATAAAAGTTAAAATATATGTGGATATGTATAACCACATTATATCAGAAACATGTTTTTATATAACGTAGCATTTTAAATTTTCAGAAGCTTAAAAGAAACATTGTATTTCATAATTAAAAAAAAGATTGACATTCAAGCGAATGTTATGTGAAAAAATTATGAATGAAATTTTATGCTATGTGTGTGTAAGTCAAGTTCTTCGTAAGTTAAATGCATTAAAACATTCGTTGCCCATTTTAAATATTTCTACATTGTCACCAAATTATTTTTTAAGTGATCAATTTAAATATTTTTCAGCTTCTACTAAATAAAAGCTGTTCAAACTTTATATTTTACAATAGAAATATACGTAGAGTTATATGGTATAAAAAATTTATGGTTCATAATTCATCATTTTTTTATTCACAGTTAAATAATAAATAATTATTAAACGTTATTGTTTGTGAGAAATTATTTTTGGATAAATGGGATTCATGAATGGGTACAATATATCTGAAATTGCTCAATTAGTTTTAAAGATATGACTAAAAATGCAAAAAGTGGAATCAACATTAAGGGGACCAAACTTTTAATGGTTCTCCTCCTATTAGGACTACAATTTCCAGATTGTGGCTTCCCTCTATATTTTCTAGGTCAAGAATCCAAATATGTAAAGAAAATATATGTACATTCAGAGAAAGTACCTTTTTGTGTCTGATTTTGTAATTTAATTAGTAGTTAGCATATTGGAGGTCAACCCCAGAAACTATTAAGATGGACACTAACTTGACATTAAGATTGACATTAGAATGAAATTATTCAGGTTTTTTTTTTTGTGCACTCTACTTAGTAATAAAGAGGTCACTAATGGTAGGAGAAAAAAGTGTAGGATTTTCATTGCTAGAAAAGATTTCTTTCCAAAAAGTCATTATTAAATTATTATAATTATTTATTAATTATTTAATTATTAACTAAATTATTCTTCAATTATGAAAAATTATTTATTATCTATGAAATTAAATATTTCCAGGTTAGTTTAGGGTGCATCTGGCCTGCCCTGCTTTTACTTGTACCAAGTTAAAACAATGGTCTTATTGTTAATTATTAAAATTTACTGTGGGTAATGAGTCTGGTAATCTAGTAATGAGTTCGTTAGTAAACTATATTACCCACATAAAATGTATAAATTATCATACGATATTGAAAATACTTCTACATATTTCATAGAGTTCTACACTGATTTTTAAAACTTTAAGGTACCATTAAACTCAAAGTGAAAATATTATTAGAACTAATTTGACAAACGTATAAAAACGTTGTAAATCTATGTAATTAACTTTTTATATGAGATTACAATCTTAATGTGTGATAATTTTTTTAGGGTTTAAGGGGTTTTTAGGATGTCATTTTTCAGTTCTCTTCATCTGAAAGCATAAGTTTGTACTTAATAATTATTGTTATTTGAAATTGATTCATTTTTAGTGTTCATTTAATAAGAAGTATATAATTATTTCGAGCCTTTGTCATCAAATTATAATTAAATACTTAAATAGTTTCTTTATATATTTATATCTTCATGCCCGGCCTTGCCAACACAGACATTTATTGAATAAATTTTTATTTCTGTATGTAAAAATTTGTTAAAGCTAGGTATTGATTTATCATGTTTGAATCCTTTATGAGATCTTGAATCCATTATTTCTTCTATTTTACTGATAGCAATTTATTGATTGCATTTATTTTTTCAATTTCTTTTAGCCCTGTTGCCAAAGCAAGAAGAATCACTTCAAAAATGAAAGCAGAATGGATCAAAGAATTAAAGGAATGTGGCCATTTGAGATGTCCAATGATAGGCTGCTTCCAGTCTTATGTATCTGTAAATAGTTTTGAAGCTCATTACAAGTGGTGCACTGGAGTAAGTTTTAAATGCAAAGAAAAATACATATTTTTTAAAAGAACTAAAAGTTAGTTTTGTAGAAGTTATTCTTTGAAATCAGTCAATCTACTTATTTCTCTATAAAAAGTTAAATAAGTTGACAATGTTAAGAAGATGAGTGACAAAATGTATAAAAAATATGGAAACAATGTCTTCTGTTTTTTTAAAAATACATTTTGTTTATACTTACAGGGCTGCTAATTTTCTACACTTCATGGGAAAATTTCTTAGAGAGATTTATGTTTTAATCAGTGATGGGATTCAAATTATTTAAGAACTGGTACTCTTAAGATTGAGATCTTTTGGTATTTTATGACTATCAATGTTCTATTCTGTAGCCTTGTAATTTTGAATCCAACCCAGAAGACAGAGGAACTTTTAGATCAAGCATTTCAACAAACTAGCCTTTGTGGAGGAATTTTTGATGGATTTAACTCACACTTGCATTGCATGATGAGAAAAAACATGAAATCTCCCATGGTTAGCCCAATGGCAAGGGGATTCCTTTCCATGATCCGTCTTTTACAGAGGATATTTTACAACAGTACTATGGTCAGTGCGTGCCTAGAGCCGAATACTTGTCAATCAGCCACCTGCGGGATTCGATTCTGGGTCATTTCATTGAGAGGCAAACGCTTTATCCCCTAACTACTGCTCAACTAATAATCATAGAACATAATAGGAACTTGAAGTAGGAGGTATTGTCACCCCAGCCCACAAATCAGTAATCCATTTAGGGATTGTGTCATAAAACGCATGCCATATCTTTCCCATTGCCATAAATTGTTAGATTTTTCTTCACTCCTCTACTTTTCCCACCTTGTACGAATTACATTCTTAAAAAAACGATTGACAGTAATTTCTAGGGGTTGTAACTTTTTAGTTAAATCCTCTGGGATAATTGCAATGTTTATTGCTAGCTTTTCACATTTCTTCTTAACAGAATTCACTTTCTGTAAAATAGTCCATGATTAAGAGTGATCACGGATTAAACAGCGCTCCCATGGTTCAGGGAGAACTGGGAAGACCTGGAATTGTCAAGGAATTTTATTTTAACTCCAAAAATCAAGGAATAGTTAGGGAAAAATGCAATTTTTTTTACAAAAACCTGGAATATTCCTATATCATACCTAGAAAATAACCAGTCTTAAAATTATCAGTAACAGTAATCAGTTGTTGAGATTAGAGTTAAATAATTCTAACATCTATTTCAATTATTTGTTATAAAAATTTCACATTTTAGTCAAACCGAAATGTTCTCTTCCTCATTTAATAATATTTTTTTACGTAGAATACCTAATATTTCACATTACAAATAGAAGAATCAAAGTTTTCGGATGAAAATGTGGTGTCAATTTTCATTGACATTTTCCTGATTTACCTGGAAAAGTCAGGGAATATTTTTTCTGAAATTGAGTTTGAGCCCTGATTAAAGAAGGCATCTTTTCTTTTATAATGAATGACTTCTTACCACATTTCCAACAATAACAATTTCCTTTGAAAAATTTCCTGTGGGTTGTGTTTTTTTTTAGTATAATAGAGAACTTTTAATTTTTTTCCCAATGATAGTATATGCTAGCAATTGAAACTTGATTTTTCATTGCTTGTCGTTTCATTTCTTACTGTTATTTTATTATTTTTTTTACTTGTCTTTTTCACAGTTCATATTGGGAGGCACCTTATTCCTAATTATTATCTCATTAGTTTTTACATTTAATTGATTTTCAATACTTTATATGTATTCTAAGAAGTTTCTTTCTTTTCTTACCAACTTATGGGCATTGATTGCTTCACTATGGCTCATGCTCTATTAAAAAACTTTAATCTCTTCATAATACGGACACACTGTGATAAGCTAGCGTAAATGATTCAGTGCCTTTTTTTGCCACTTATTGCCAATTATTGGAGTTTCGTTTCTAATTCAGGCTACTTGCTGATCCTGCTTCTTCTTGGCCTTTTATTTTTCAGCATTTTTTCCATCTTTTAATAAAACTTCTAATTCACCATTCATCAGTCTCAAAACCACGTCCTGTGCCTCTATTACCAATTTCTTCAACCTGTTTTATCACAGATAGTTTTAAACTAGCGTATACCATTTTGTATATTAAGACTAAGTGCAAAAAGAAAAATGAATGAGCAAAATCGCATTTTGGAAAATTGTTAAAGGGTCAAATTATTATTTCTTCAATGAAAATATTCTATTTTGGTGTCACTAAACGTAGCAGATCAAACCGCAGGAGCCGAAGAAAGATATGGACAAACCAATGTATTGAACGGTGTCGGCCCCCTCCTTTTGGATTACCCATTCTTTTCTGCTTGTTTTGGAGTTGTTCTCTTAATATTTTTAGAAAAATTCATATGTTTTTTTAAGAGTTTGAGGAAAACATTTTTCATCGTAAGCTACATGTCTTTAGGCTGTAAGCTACAAGCTTTCTAATTAGAAATTTCAATTATATGAATTTTTTGATGTCATTGAAATACTAATTATTATTATTTTAAAATTAATTTTTTTAAAAAATGACTTAAGTTGTTAATTAAAATTGTAAAATTAATATCTTGCTTTTTAGCTGAATGGGATTTTATAATTTCCACTTCTTACTGCCTTGAAACTAGCTAACTCTTTCTTATCAATTATCACTGGAAGTTTATTTTTGTGCAAATGGTGTTAAAAAATGGTTAACTAGTTTTGAAGAAATTATACAAAAGCAAACACTCCTGTTTCAGGCCATGGCTTTTTATTACATATTCTCTTGATTATTTTTATTATTGAAGTTTCATTTTACCTATAATAGCTTTGCATGCGTTAGCATTTTTGATAGTTAATAATTTTTCTGGAAAAAGTATTTCTTTGCATTATTAGTGAATAGTGATTCCCAAGATTTATTTTAAAAATTAAACAGATATTATTTTTATTTTAGTTCTGTTCTTTTTTTATGCTTATTTTTTAAAAATAGTGTTCTTTATTTTATTTTATATCTTCATTGAAATATTTTTTATTCTTTAATATGTTTTTTTTTAAATTTTAGTTTTTTATCTTGGTATTTATATTTTTTATTTGTTAAATACTTTTATTTTTATTCCTTTTTAAAAACGCCTATTTTCAATTTATTAAAATAAAAATTTTATTATTTAGGTCTTATTACACGAAATTTACTTAAAATATTTAAAAAAAAAAAAAAAACAAAGACTTACGTGTGTTAAAAAATATTGTTGTATTTTCTGCAATGTTATGACAGGCATTCTTAATTTTCACTACAAAATCTGATGATGACCTTTTTTATTTTATTTTTAGAATGATGATTTAAAGCCATGTCCATATTGCAAGTCTCTTATATTTGCATCTTTCAGTGCTTCATTGCATCACATGAACATCAAACATCCAGAAAAAGTTGAAGAATATCAAGGTATTTAATGTATTTTTTGAAGTTTCTTTGTGTCTTATTTTTGAATTTTTAATGATAATTTAATTTATTTTCAGCCAATGTCCCTAATGTTGAGGTGATTTTTCTTCAAGAATCAGTTGATCATGAGGCAAAATTAAACAAAACTCATAATGAAGGAAATAGTATCTATACCCCAAATAACCCTTTTTCCAAGAAAGCATCATCAAATCTTGACAGAAATTTGCTTAATAAAACTGAAGTTTCAAACTTAAAAGAGTTTGAAGAATGTATTAACTTGGATAACATTTCTAGTTTCAAATGTGACACTGAAGCTGCTGAAACTGAACAAAAGTTTAAGAATGCTACCAATGTTAAAATATTTGAGTCAAAGAAAAACAAATATATCAAGAAAAAGTACAAAACGAAAGGCATTTTGTTCTCTGAACGGCATAAAAGGTTTATTGAAACTTTAAAATTAAATCGAGATTGTACATCAGAAAGAAAAACATATACCCGACCTATCTTAAAGTGCTCAGAAGACTCACCAGACAAAATAAATGTGCAAGAAGAACCAATTAAAACCTCAAATGAGACTCACAGAAGCGTACAATCTAAGAGTTCATCTTTACAAATTAAAAATTCTTTGGTTGCAAACATCCTGTCCATTGGATTTCCTGACACAATAAATAAACTTGGGAAATGTATAGATGGGAGTATTAAAAATAATTCTGATTCTGACAAGACTCAGGTAGACTACAATTCATGCCTAAATGATGAACAATCAGTTAATTTAAAATCATTTACGAATATGGGATATTGCGAGGGGAATGAAACAATGAGGGACTCTTCATTGTTAACTTGCTCTGCTACTGATTTGGAAGAAAGTATTGTAAATGAAGCAAATAGACTTCCAAATTTTGATTGTTTAAATGCAAGTAAAAAAAATAACGATGAGTTTTCTCATAAGAAAAAAACTAACTTAAAAGTATATGCCATGGAAAGAAATATAAAACATCAAAAAAAAGCATCCAAAAAGTCAACAAAGCAAAGCTTAGTGAAGCAGCATCAACAACATGAAGTTTCACAAACAGTTTTTCCTGACCAACTTTTAATTAAACATTCTCATAATGATTCTACAATTTGCAATTCTATTTCTAAAACAAGTGTTTATATCAACAAAAATAGCTCAGAAAACTTAAAACGCAAAAAAAAGTCTTTGAGAGACTTTCGATCTGAATCTCGGGGACTTATTACTTCATATCAAACCTGTGTGCAAAAGAGAAAACGGAAAATACCTAAAAAGTTTCCATTGTTATCAAGTATAGATGAAAAAAATGATTCTGAAAAAGGAAGTTGTGATCATAAAAGACGCCTTATCAGGCGATTCAAATGACCATATTCTAAGTTCTACATTAAATATTCATTTAACTTTACTCTGTAATCAATGTAAATCAAGTAAAAAAGTTATTGAATCAGTTGTTAAATTGTCAGTTTTGAAAAACAAACTTTTGCCTCAAACAAGAATAATATGAGATTGCGGTGGTTTCTGAAGTGAGTCGAACTTTTAAGAGCCAAAATGCTATATTTTTGGAAATTTTTTTGCTTTTTGCCTTATATAATCTAAGCATTGTATCATGCGCAAAATTTACTGGACATGAAATTAAAGATCAGTATAGTTAGTTCACTAGGAATTGGCACTTGGCACCACCTCTTCGGACGAAGAGTTTATTTCAGCGAGGGAGTAACAGGAGAAGCGTCTCTGCGCTTGAAATTGAAACTACTCTTAATGCGCGAATTCTTTTTCAGTCTCTTACTTTGCTTTATCATCTGCTATTATACCTTTCGTTACTCTAGCCAATTAAATATTGCAGCAAAAATAAGAAGGGACAAACTGTTCACTCAAAAGAGAGGAATATCATTAAACTTATGAAGTATTTGATGTTGAAAAAAATGCACATAAAGACTGCAAAATAAATATTTTTGTCATCAATTGCCAAGTAGCAACCTTGCTGAAGACTGTTCATATTCTTCTCCCAATAATAGCGAGATAGTAACGTCGGGTACCACGTGATGTAGGTGGAGCCAAGTGCCAAATCCTGGTGAACATACTATATATTCCGCATCGAATGACATACTTAAACATGAAATTTAGTTGAGCGGTTTGGTCAGAATTACCAAAAAAAAAAAAAGAGCAAATTCCCCCCCCCTTTTTTTTTCTTTGGAAAAATCATTATGCTTTTATTTTTTTATTCCTGTAACCCAAAAATACCTCTTCAAATAAAATATATAATTTATAAAAATTAAAAGGCCTATACATTTGCTTTTAAGGCTCAAATAATTTAAATATTTAGTTTAATCCTACTCTAAGATCATCGCTAATAATAAAAAAAGGACGATGCGATCATTTCGTAGGTGTTCTATAAATAAATTGCTCTACACATTTCGTCTTGCTACTCAGAGGGAATTATTAACCACACCTGTGTCACAAAAAATTGCATTCGTCTTCACTCTAGTTTTCATAATGCTAAAATTGAGTGTTTTATCGGGTTTGGATTAGAGTATGATGGGCCTTAGGCTTGGGGACTAAACCAGTATCAAACTGTCCAAAACTATAAGGTATATATTCAGTTACTATAGGTAATATATTTAGAAATAATTAAAACTTTATTTATAAAAGTCAGTTCCAGTTGTACTTGTTTTACATAAATTTAAAAAAATAAGCTTTTTGAAACGTTAAATAGTTTTACAAAAATAATTACATTAAACGTTAAAATTTTTAGTTTCAATGTCAGCAAAAACCTGTAAGAAATTATAAATGTTTAGTAATTGTAAGAATAGCATACAAAATTCAAACGGAAAAATACAAATTTAATAAATCAAAAGCGAAACAAGCCCTTGTGACTTAAGCAAAGATAATAGATAAAATTAGGGAGTTGGGTGAGGGGCAGAAGTAAATAATATGCGCAAACATATATATATTTTTATTTTCCGAATTTTACACTGATTGATGCAAAATGATTGTCAACAAGAAAATTCTTCAGATAAGAAATTAATAAAAAAGTCAACATCTGTTTACGAGAGAGTGTCCATTAATGATGAAAATTGAAATTACTGTCAAGAAGGTATGTTTTTTTTTAAATTTTTTTTATTTGTTACTAATGTTTAGATGGATATCAAATTAAGGATACACAATTTCTTCGGCTTCTGAGTTAACTAAGTTGTTTAAGAAGGAGAATTTTACTTCTTTTTTGTTCCTTTCAGAAATTATTACACTCAGCATATATGGAGGTTTGGCATTTTTAGTTTAAATCCTCTAAAAAACTTCCAGAAGTTCTTTCAGTTTTTAAGAAAGTTTTTTTTCCATCTAAAATTTAAATTTATATTGTTTTGCTTCCTTTTTTCAGTTAATTATTATTTTATTTATTTATTTTGAGAAAGGTAGCATTTAAACTTTTAAGCATATAAGAAATGCTAAATAAAATTTTGATTTCTTATGTTCTCAGGTAGTTTTAATTTTTCTTTGTATGTTTTGAGATAAACTTGAAAGTAATTTATCACCTTGTTGCTTCCAACAATTTAACTAAAATTCACTTTAAAAACTCATATTTTTCTTTAAATCTCTATAATCCTAATTTTGAATTATGTCTGACAGGAACATATTTCTAACTGAATATGATTGAAAAGCTTTTAATAAACACTTATAACATTATAATTAAAGGAATGATTAAATTTACAGCAAATCTAAGACATTTATGTTGTGATTTGTAGGGCAAAGGAGGAAAAAAGACAATAGTTAATTTAACAATTAAACTTAACAAATTTAATAAAGAAGGAAAATAAGTATAACAGCAACATCAATAGCAGAAAGCTGCCTACAAGCAGCGTTGCATAACAAAGACGGACTAAGATAGTTCTAAAGGAAAGAATAAGTCAATTAAATATTCTGGGACTTTTCCCGTTCAGACACTGGCACCATGAATTCCGGAACTTTTTCCTTGTAGTCAGTCTGGTTTGTTCAACAGGGAAGTAGGTGGTTTCGAGAATGATGGTCAATAATAACTGCAACATTTATTGTATCTTTTTTTAAAAGATTACATTTAATTTGTGGAAAAGTAATCTATTAAAAATACAAATGAATTAAGTGCTTCAATTGACATTGTATGACTTCTAGGTGAAAATTCAATACTGTTATTCAATGTTTTGAATATTTTACCATAATAAATATCTTTTATTTTTTAATATATATGTAGTACTAAAGTTATAAAAATACTTTAATATTAATAAAAGCATTAAAACTTCTTCGTTTTCATAAAATGTTTTAGTTATAAAATTAGAGTACATATATTCTATTTTGGAACTTCAAGGCTGAAAACATGCCAATGAATTATAATTAGATTTATGTTTCAAAAGAGGAGTTATTTTAAGATCTTTCACTTCCATATAAGGAAAGATTAAACGATTTTCTATGAGTATTAAATGATTTGCAATGAGGAGTAGGAATACAATTAATGCAATATGACTGCCCTGTTTACCCATTGTAAGTATCGTATAAAACCAAGGAGCGATGGTTTTTGCATGTCTTTTTGTGTTTTATGTTTACCATCTAAACTCCGTCTGATTTGAAGGGAAATCTGTGTCTCTCCCCCTCCGGCTGGAGAGTGGATGAGATTTCTGTTTACATCATATTCCAGTAAATAAAGCCTGTTAAAGTCTATCGGCTTATTATTTCTACGAATGTAATTTAAAAACAATAACAAAATATTGGGGTTTGTTTCCCTGATATGATATATACTTATATATATATTTTCATTTAATCATTTCAAGTTGCATTTTAAAAAGTTAGAAATTTTAAATTAGCTTATTTGAAATATAAGTTCTAGAAATGTAGTTCTTATTATACTTCAACTTAGTCCGTTTTTTTTAAAAAAAAAAAAAAATCTTTGCCCTTTACTGAAGTGGGCCAAGCTTGAAAAACCGGGGAGTGTTTTTTGGGAAGGTCCTTCTTTTTCAAGGTAGGTTTTTTTCAAAAATTACTGCACTAAATCAATATTTCTATTTCAGTATCAAAAGATTGCAAAGTATTGTTTTTAAACAAAGACTTCCAAACAAATGATAATAAATTAACTTGATAATTTAATTTAAATTGTAATATGATTTAGCTAAATTAGCTTGATGTATAAATTTAAATGTGTTTAACTTCTTTTGACAGCATACTAAAATGTGCTATTAATTAGGATGGAAAAGTGAAGTATGTAAGTAATCTTTATGAAAAACACATTGAGGATCATTCATGGCAATAATTTTACTTTCGCAAATTGTTACAAAAGTAAAAAGTATGTACTCATATTTCGTTACTTTTTACTTGTACTTTTCACAAAAAAAGTAATGATAAAACAAGTATTTTTTAAAAAATTTTTTGAAAGAAATAGTTACTTTTTTCCGAAATTTTTTCTAAGTTTTCTTCTTTAAAAAAAAAAAAAAAAAATGTAGAAATCTAAATTAATTTTGTTTTGAATCTTCGTTTTTTAGTAAAATTTTTTTTAGTTTTGTTTGTTATGAAATTTTTTTTACTGCCCACTCTTTTCACAAAGAAAACAGTCCTTTCTTACGAAAACAGTTTTTTTCACTTCCTTTTCTTACATATGATCACAATGGGGAATGGAGATGCAAAAAGGTCATAGGTCACAGCATAACCATCTGTAAGTTCCTAGAAACCAATATCCACCCCACCTACTTGATCAATTTTGTTTCTATTGGAAACAAAATGTTTCCAGTGTCTAAGAGTTTAAGCCATAAGAGTTTGTCTTGTGCTTATCTATAAAGAATACTTTTCCTTGAGCCATCGAATCGCTTTTTTGATATGTTAAGAAAATATTTATTTACTTTTCTTAAATGTCAAATGCTTGATTTAATATTGTGTTACCTATAAAAGTTGAATTAATAGAGTTTTCTTATAATTAAAGTTATGTTAAAACTTACTTGGGACAATATAACTAAAATTTTAAGGATTGTTTTTTTTTTATGATTGGTGAAGGTCAAAGTTATGGGTTAAAAGAAACTTAAAATTTTCAACTTCTCATTTTTAATTTGCTTAATATTATTAAAATAACTATAATCTTTAAAGTTATCAAGATCTACTTTACTCTTAGACTTAATGCTGGAAAAAATATTTACTTTAGAAATTAAAATATTTTTAAGAACTAATATATATTAGTCTAATGATTAAAGAGTTTATGATCGTTATTAAAGATGTTATTGCAAAATTAACGTGTTTTAATATTTTCCTACTATTTTGTATGGATGTGTTTGCTCAAATGTAACCATGGATGCTCGCCTGTCCATCTGACTGCTTGAGGGTTAAAACACTTTAGGTTTTGAATGATTGTTACATGAGTCACAGACAAAGTGGAAATGCGTGAAAATAAATTTTTATTAATGAAAAAAGTGGTTTGCCACCTATTTTTAAGTTTTTTTT